GGCATTGATGAATATTATTCTCGGGCATCTTAATTTTTAGGATGTGTTATGTAATCACAGATTGACTGACAGGTCTGCTTGTCAAGATGTTCTGCAACATCTGCCCCCTTTTCTGTGTTTCTACAAGTGCTTGAGATATACACATGGCAGTCAAACACTTGTGTCTTTTTTTTCCTTACAATTGATAAAGAGCTAATATACAAGCCTGTTCCCTGACCTCACAGATGATGTGTCAGCCCATGTCGGTGCAGAGCACGGAGGCTCCTATTGCATCATGGGAGCCCAGTTGTGTTCCCTGTTCAGCTGTGACATGCTAAAGAGGTGTGACCACAATAAAATCCAAATATGTGCACATTTCTGGCAGTTAGAGACATAGAAGAAGATACAAGAAAAAGTTTATTTGTGTTTTAATTTGGTAAAGCAGTCTTGTTATGTGTTTCACATACACACGTGACATAGTACTTAGCAGTTTTTTGTAGGGGGTTTGCTTGATTGCTTGATATTTTTTTTAAACTTTTTTGCTGTCTTATTTTTCTCTGGGCTGTACTGCTGTTTTTGTGACAAGTGATACCCTGTCATTGTCCACAATTGCCTCAGTGCGGCTATTTCTGTCCATGTTTACAGCCCAGGTCATGTTTTTCTTGCTGCTCTCGTTGCCTCTCCTAAGTCAGGCTGTTGTCAAACCAAAGGACAGCTAATTCGGTAAGGTTGCCTTGAATGTTTCTTGACACCGAGGGAAAACTGGCCATGTGGATCCTGCCAGGCAGCCACTGGGACATCCTGACACATCATAGACCTCTATCGCATCGCTTGCTGGAGGTCTCTTGAAACCCATGATAGTTTCTGTCTGTCTATGTCTTCCAGTCTGCTGTGATCTGAAAGATAGAGACACCTTATTGACATCCTTGGAAGTAATCCAAATTTGTCATTCATGACACCATGTTGGTGGACCAACTAACTTAGAGGATCTGCCAAAGATCTTTTTCTACCAAAGAGGGCAGATCAACAGTCAGTTGGATGCACATTATGCCGTTGTCACAAAAGTCTCTTTAGAACTACTCCTCTGGTAGGAACATTGGGGGGAATTCATCAAAACTGGAGCAGACAAAATCTGGAGCAGTTACCCATGGCAACCAATCAGCTTCTCTCTTCAGTTCAGTTAGGATCAGAAAATGAGAGAGAGCAGCACATCTGCTGCAGATTTTGTCTGCTCCAGTTTTGGTAAATTCCCCTAATTTAGTCTGAAGGTGCCCATACACCTTACAACCATCGCAATCGTACAGTGTATGGGGAACTTTAATCTCAGCTTTGTGTCAGCCCATGATGAGACATTGTTCTAACCCTTCTCCTTCCAATCAATAAAAGTAGTGTGAGGCTGACCAGTAAGTTAAAGAGGATCACTACTTTCACACTACAGGGTAAATGGCTACATTAGCCCCTCCAAAAAAATAAATCAGCGCTGCCAATCAGAAGGTGTGTCTGGCTATGAACCCCCTTCCTTTCCATTAGCTGTTTAATGTGAATGTAGAACAGATTTATATCCATCAGAAGAGGCAGATGGGAAAAACATATATTATTAAGGGAACATCATAATTTGTATCAGACTGATTCAAATATTTTAAACTAACACGGCTTTAAAGAACAACTTCATTGAAAAATATTTTTATATAGCCCCATAACATGATGATATTTTCATTTTACAAAAAAACTACAACCCATTGTTAACATGGTGCCTCTAACTACACCAGCATTTGTCCACTCCATGTCATGGGAGTGTTGAATTCCTATCATTCAAAGGGGGCTGCCCTGCTCTGTTACTGCACGAGTCAGCAAAATGTAGAGCAATAGGCTGTGAAGAAGCACAGTTTGTGAGGGTGTCTGCTACTTTATCCGCTATTTTAGTAACTATTCTAAGTACTCTCTAGTAATGAAGTATAAAAAGTGGCTTATTCGGTTTAGAGTGATGATGGTGTGCAATAGGCCGTATTATAAGCCCTTTGTCCTTTCTATATTCATAGGCTGGCAAAGAGGAACACAGCTTTTGTTCATAATGAGGGTTGGAAAGAAGACAAAACAGACACATAAAAGAAAACAAAGTGCAGTAATATTGGGAGTGACATGTGGTTATTCTAGAGATAATTAAGAGATATGCTGCTTGCTCTAATCTGTTTTCATACTTGATGGATGTGCTAATCTGCTTCATTGTTCCGCATCAGGTATTGTAACAAATTGCAGATGTCATGAAAAGCTTTTTAGCGCCAGAGATGTATTCATTTTCAGTTCCTGGTCTGACATTTCCCCTGTGTTATGTATGTCTGCATTAAGCTCTGTCTCTGACTGTCAAGCTTCCTCGCCACGGTCGCTGGGGTGAGAGAATCAATCAGTTCTTTTTACCTAAACATGGTGATAGGTTTTTCTTTCTACATAGGCTCTGCAAGAGAAGAAAAGGCAGCGCCACCTAAAACTAATATGAGTGACACATGAACCAGAGAGGAGCTGAATCCCATGTTGCCTTGGGGAGACTTATCACTGTGGGCAGAAATGCAAACTACTGCAGGGAAATCTCACCATTGTGGGAGTGCAGAGACACCAACTACTGCAGGGAAATCTCACCATTGTGGGAGGGGCAGAGACACCAACTACTGCAGGGAAATCTCACCATTGTGGGAGGGGCAGAGACACCAACTACTGCAGGGAAATCTCACCATTGTGGGAGGGGCAGAGACACCAACTACTGCAGGGAAATCTCACCATTGTGGGAGGGGCAGAGACACCAACTACTGCAGGGAAATCTCACCATTGTGGGAGGGGCAGAGACACCAACTACTGCAGGGAAATCTCACCATTGTGGGAGGGGCAGAGACACCAACTACTGCAGGGAAATCTCACCATTGTGGGAGGGGCAGAGACACCAACTACTGCAGGGAAATCTCACCATTGTGGGAGGGGCAGAGACACCAACTACTGCAGGGAAATCTCACCATTGTGGGAGGGGCAGAGACACCAACTACTGCAGGGAAATCTCACCATTGTGGGAGGGGCAGAGACACCAACTACTGCAGGGAAATCTCACCATTGTGGGAGGGGCAGAGACACCAACTACTGCAGGGAAATCTCACCATTGTGGGAGGGGCAGAGACACCAACTACTGCAGGGAAATCTCACCATTGTGGGAGGGGCAGAGACACCAACTACTGCAGGGAAATCTCACCATTGTGGGAGGGGCAGAGACACCAACTACTGCAGGGAAATCTCACCATTGTGGGAGGGGCAGAGACACAAACTACTGCAGGGAAATCTCATCATATTGCGAGGCTAGAGACACAAACTACTGCAGGGAAATCTCACCATTGTGGGAGTGCAGAGACACCAACTACTGCAGGGAAATCTCACCATTGTGGGAGGGGCAGAGACACAAACTACTGCAGGGAAATCTCATCATATTGCGAGGCTAAAGACACAAACTACTGCAGGGAAATCTCACGATTGTGGGAGGGGCAGAGACACCAACTACTGCAGGGAAATCTCACCATTGTGGGAAGGTAGAGACACAAACTACTGCAGGGAAATCTCATCATTGTGGGAGGGGCAGAGACAGAAACTACCACAGGGAAATCTCACCATTGTAGGAGGGGCATAGACACAACCTATTGCAGGGAAATCTCACCATTGTGGGAGGGGCAGAGACACAAACTACTGCAGGGAAATCTCACCATTGTGGGAGGGGAAGAGACGCAAACTACTGCAGGGAAATCTCACCATTGTGGGAGGGGCAGAGACACCAACTACTGCCATGAAATCTCACCATTGTGGGAGGGGCAGAGACACAAACTACTGCAGGGTAATCTCACCATTGTGGGAGGGGCAGATACACAAACTACTGCAGGGAAATCTTACCATTGTGGAGGGGCAGAGACACCAACTACTGCAGGGAAATCTCACCATTGTGGGAGGGGCAGAGACACAAACTGCTGCAGGGAAATTTCACCATTATGGGAGGGGCAGAGACACAAACTACTGCAAGGAAATTGTTGCCCTTCTTTGAAATTACAGGCACCAGAGCCACCATTCTCATTCTTCATTTACTAAGTGGTTCAATAACCATGACATAACCAATGAAGTGTGGAAACACTTGATAGCACATGCTTGTTTCTGGATAAAGATAACATTTCCCTTTTAACTGTTCAGTATCCACTGAACACTAGAATATTGGTTTTGGGTGGTGTACATTTTAAACACTGCTACCTTGTTATATCGGAGTCTAGTGCGCAAAATGAGCTCCATAATGTGTAAGAAAAGAAATGCTTGCTGTAGAGAAGGATTGTGTGTTTACAAGAGGCTTCTACTGCAATAAACAGTGTCCATCACTTAATAAATGATTGGCAGATCTTCTATATGGACAGATTAAAAATGCACCTACTAAAAATCTGTTTTATTCTTCATCGCTGGAATTTATGAAAGGCAGATTGCAGTTCAAAATGGATGTTTGTTGCTTTTTACACATTGAAAAGTATTTGACTTATTAGCGCACTCTGACAATTTTATGAACATATTGTAGACAGGGAGGCCATTCTCGGATGGGTTTGTGGGATTGTGTTACCATTATTAGAGTTATAGATAGACTGAGATGGCAAAGGACACTGGAATAGGTGATTGTTACCCCTCCATGTTTTTGCTTTCATCTCTGGTGCTGCCACCAGCTCTGTATTGCCAGTGATATAAATATGGTCATAACGTCTGAGACATCTAGAGAATCTTTTACTTGCTTCATAAGTGAGGACCTGGCACCAACCCATTAGCACAGTATAAACACAGTGTTTTACATACACATTGCCACTGATTGTATGGAATGCTCGAAAATGGCCTCTGGTTTTCAGATTTGTCCAACAATGCGATTAAATACTCTTTTCTCCATAATACATTCCAGCTGTACATTTTGATTTCTTTTTGTGAAAACACAAAAAAATAATAATGTTTTCTCTGCTTTTATCCACTCACAGGTGAACCAGCTGATGTTTTGAAGGTTTTAGATTTTCCTAATTTACCTGATGGAGTCCAAAAATCAACAGGATTCTGCGCATTCAGAAAATCGACAAAGGGACCCGATGTGGCATACAGAGTGTCGAAGAGTGCGCAGCTTAGTGCCCCCACCAAGCAGCTCTTCCCAGGTAAGATTATAATAAAGTAGATTTGCAGAAAGCTGTAAAATATAACATATCTGGAGTCAGGTGATGTCACTCCTATACAATATTAATTATATCTGAAGAGAGCTGATGTCACTCCTGTAAAATATAATTTCTATCTGGCAAGCGGTGATGTCACTTATATATTCTATAACTAATATCTTGAAAGGGGTGATGTCACTCTTGTAAAATCTAACATATCTGGAGAGCAATGATGCTACTCCTCTAAAATATCACTTCTATCTAGAGAGCAGTGATGTCACTCCTGCATATTTATAATTTGTTCATGGTGCTGAATCGTATATGGTAATTATTTGGGTTACTTTTGGCATCCATCTTTGAAACACTGCATGCTGCTGAAGGGTCCATTCATACCATCCGCTGCACAAATCGCACAGCAGGTGGTGTAACGGTGCGCCCAGCATAGTGCTGATGCACCGATCCTGGCACATTGCACTGTTTCCTTTTTTTTTTTTTCACAAGCGACATTTCATTACGTTTTATGGGCACAGCAGGGTGCGAGGCGGTTTTACTAGGTCGCATCTCACTACGCTGAAAAAAAGTACTGCATGCAGTACTTTTTAAGTGCACGCCGCTGCAACGAGGTTGCCTTGTCCTGCATTGGTACTGCCCGGAAAAAATGGAGAGAGCAGCCATTGCTTTCAGTCATTACTACGTCATTAAATATATATTTTCTTTAATACAAGTACCTCAATATGACCTGGTATCAGTCTCTTGTAGTCCCTGTACAGCAGAGCTAGGACTGGGACAGGGAGATGCAGCTTAAGGAGATTTTCACTTCATGCACTAACAAGGAGCATGCTAATAGGAAGAAGGACCAGAGAGATGAGTTCATCAATTTTTTTGCATTTCTTTTCCTGTCCAGTCACAGAGTGAGGGCTGGTAGGGAACCTGCAAGTGTTACTTAACTGTGGTAGAGAAAAAAAATGGATCTCCTGCAATGCCATAGAGGGCTGTGCTGTGGGATAGACAGAATACAAATCATTTGGCAGGTAAAACGGTTCCCTAAGTATTTCCTCTGTGTCTTTAGCTGTTTGCCTGGAGTTTAGCTTTAATATCCATACAGTGCAGAATTTCATAAGTTGATTTCTTAATTAAAACCTTTCACAACACATTTGTATTAGCGGTATTCTTGGCTCTGCCTGATAAGCAGATTGAGCAACAAGGCGTCGTAACCTTTAGATGAACTTTATTGGAACAAAAACATTTTTCCTCCGGTAATAGGGTGAATGTTTTGCTGCCCAAGTGCCCATTCACCCAGCTAAGTGTTCCCATTTCAGCGGAGGTCATTTAAATGGTACAATAAGTTTTACTTGTCAGTGTGATATTGATGACAGGAGACACTTCACTCCCGGCCACTGAATATTCCTGAAGCTGATGAGAGCTGCTGCATCTTCATCCGTTGGCCTAAATGGCGTCCAGAGAGTTATTCTGAATTATTAGTAGGGGTATAAGAGCTGATTATCTCCCGCAAGCAGGATTTTGATAATTTAATGGACAGAACTCCATTACTTACTTTTCCGCTAGGCCGTCTTACTGCTTGTAAAATACACTGCAGCGTCCCTTTTTAAAATATAGGGATTTAATTGAAAATATTGGCATGTTGTTCCTGGCAGGCGGCTTGGAATATGTCTGCAGCATTTGTATGCCCTAAGCAGCTGCATAAAAACCCAAAATAAAAATCAAAAAAAGCCATAAGCACTGGGTGTGTTTTCTAATGCCAGTGCATGCTGAAGCTTGTAGTTCTTAAACAACTGAAGGTTTTAGAAGAGCAAAATAAACTGAGCAGATGTCTCTGGTTCTCAAGTATACTCAGCACCATGTTAACAAAGGGCGATTAAAGGGCATTTAAAATAGACACTCAAAAGGTGCAACCGATGGAGCTTGAGCCTAAGGTCATTTTATATCCACACCAAAAAACGCATAAACAGTAATTCCAATGCTTTTAAATGAGGCTAACTCACTCCATTGCATTCAGTTCCAGTGCTTTAAAAAAAAAAGTACAGCAGCATGCTTTTTGTTGCATCGGAAAGTACAAAATAGGCACAAAAATGCACCGGAAAGCTCTTAAACCCAAGCAAAACCAATTTTAAAAACACAGGAACACAACAAAAACACGCAAAAAATGCACATAAACGCATATGTAGAAACGCATCCAGAACCAGTCTGTAGATGGTGTGAACAAGCACTGACAGCTGATGTGGCAAGTACCCTGGACCCCTGATGGCCTTCAATTACAAATGGCCCCTTGTTTTCTGGAGGACATTTTTTTTCTATCTAGATAATTCCAAGATATCTTTAACCAAATTATAAAATGCTTTAAGTTGAAATTCTAACCAAAGCTTTCCTCCTAAAATAAAAAATATTGTAGACCTTTTTCTTCAGAAATATTTCCCCGTGGTACCAGCTCAATTGCTTAATAAAGGTCAGCCCAATATATTTACTCTGGGTTGCTTGTAGCTTAAGGTGATCATTGACTTTTGAGTGAGAAGGGTCAGATATACTTGGCACAATTCAGCCATTATCAATCGCTGCCATGGTTTAGCAGGCTAGGGGTTCATCGGTTCATTTTCATGGATGGATGGGTGCTGAAAGACACAACTGGCATCACAGCATTTTTTGTGTCTCATTAGGGAGATCTTCCTCCACTTCCTATCCTGTACACTCACAAAGGAGATATCTTTCCAATGTTAGAGAAATCTTCTCTTAGGCTGGCCATACACTATTCTATTTTTTTCAGCACGCGGGAGGGAACAGATTCCTCCTTCAATGCTTTCAAGCACTGATCTAGGAATCCCCCGTTACCTTTGTATTCTGACAGCAGCCCCGGCCAGTGTCAGAATACCCGAGCAGAGCCGGCAGCTCATTGGCTGCCGGCTCTGTTCATTCTAAGTTTTTCTGACTTTTCTAACATAAAGCACAGAACATTCTTTGCATTTACACTCCTAATCTGACTCTTGCCAGTGCCAACATCATTAGAACATGTATAACCATGACATCATTAGGGGTAAAGCTTACCAGAGGGTGCCCCCAGAACAGTGCAGTGACTAATAAAAGGATCTGACATGCCCAGGGCAAATGAAGACCCTCATGGGTAAATAGAAAATAAAAGAAGTCTGACTGGGACATATATGCCAGTAAGGGTCTCCATTATCCAACATTACTGGCTGCATACTGTTTGTCAGTGACTCATTATATAGTGAGGCTGGAGGATTAGCATGCCAGCCACAAAACCAGCACCTTTTAAAAGTGGTGGCCATATCTTGCCCAGCTGTAATGTAGTAATAAACATAGCGCTATGGAGAATGCTTAGGTATTTTCTTTTTTTTAATGGTGGAAAATTAAGCACATGTCAGAAGTATCATGTTTAGGGCCTCCCAGCTATTAAGCATGCATAACGCTATCAGATAATATGACACCGTTGCTGTTTACTTTACTGTAAGCCTTTTCTATTTGATACAATTATGCCTACTCAGAAGCTGGGGGATAGGAACAGGTATTTGTGCAGTAATTCTCAAACATTAGGACAACTCTTAGTCTACCTTTCCTGCCTTCCACCAGTACAAGTAATTTATATCTTCAAAACTAACCTTCAAATGTAACGCAGGGCACTGCCCATGGTGCCGACACTAGCTTTACTTATTAAAGTTGCCTTTGTATGGCACTAGTTGTGCCTTACATACCAAAGCTTGAAGTTCTCACAGTGATCTGTGATCTGTGCAATGAGCTCAGTGTCATCTTGCTGAGGACCTGCAGTGCTGGCCTAGAATTTGCCATCTATGATGTCACATTACAATATCCAGTGGCTCTTTCTTCAGTTGAAATTGCCCAAGTGCCTGATATTTGTAATTCTCCAGCTACAGTGGAACTGCAAGTCTCAGTATGTTCTACAGGCCGGGAACAAAACCTTTTGCTAATAACGCTGATGTGCCGTTGGCAGCCGAGATGTTACCAGCACCTCACCAAGCCAGGGACATTTTTCCATGGACTCTGCCAGCTACATCTCTTGTGGTTTCCTGATCTGTGTAATTAATTCTCCTCTTCTCTGGATGCAAAACACATGGCGAGAGTCCTACTGGCAATTGCCAAAACTGCATAGTGACTGGTGACCCTGCAGTGCCAGTGCCCTGAATGTGTATAACCTTATAAAGGAGATGATGAATGAGGAGAGCCTGGCAAGTTCATCTCACAGATGGTATGCATTAAAATCTCATCAATTCCGTGAACTATGAAGCTGGATATGCAGCGTGCATCAAACTTCCTAACTTTGCACCGGACCCTACCCAGATACCTGGAGAAGAGAACTATTATGAGAAACTTGCTAATTACATTGGGCAGGATGTACTTTTAGCATTACTTCTAGAAGGTTTTCTGTCATTGGCTTCCATTCATATAGCAACAACACATTCTGCAGAAAAAGTTACATGGAAAAACTGTGCATACAAATGGCATTCTGCATTTTGGGACAGCAATCAGCGATCTTTCACCATATCACCATACCAGATCTGCCGGTGCCTAAAATGGTATTTGAAGGTTCACAAAGTAAGAATATTTGCAAATCAGGTGGGACACAGGGAGAACTTCAAGCCCAGTAATTTAATTAAATACTGACACTTGTCACTTTAAAGGAGACCGGCTTCTCCAATCCCTCCTGCATTACATAAACAGGAACGTTCATGGGACCAGAGCATTCCTGTTTCTGGCCAAAGCCTGGCAGTGTCATGAAATGCTTGCTTGCTGGTCATGCTTGCTTGTACAATGTCTCATTTATCCAGATTTATAGCAATTAAAATACATTTCATGTCTAAAACCAGCTTACATCTTCCCCTTATTCATCTTAAATTGGCTGATAACTTTAAAAAGGCCCAGTTACATAAATAGCAAATGGTTTTCTATGGGAGAATGGGAATTCTTATTCGTCTGTGACTGTGAGTTGGTCAAAGTGGCATTTTCTGTTTAATGGAGGTTTAATCTGAATAGAATCCTAATGTTACTTACGGATTGTTTTGACATCATTCACATTATATCAAGCATCAATTGAAAGCAATGACTTCACCCATTACATAAGGAATTCCATCTTCTAATATGGATTCTACTGCAAAACCTTGTAACCTGCTGGAAAGGAATTTCAAACATAAACACCAAGAAGTCAAAGGCTGGAGAATGATGGGGAATTCCTGCCATTCCTGAGGGGTTACATGCTTGACATAAGGCTCTTCAATGAAGATCTTATCTGAGGTCTCTCTTAACAAACTCATTGTGAATTAAGAGTCATTGAGACATTCACTAAACTCACTCAAAAATGAAGAGTCTGACCTCCGTCTGGTCCCAAGGTACCATTATCAGTGCAGGCTAGCCTGTTAAAACAGCAGAGCAGAGGGTGCAAACTCTATACATTACAAGGCTCTAACCCCAAAGAAAAAAAGGCATGAAGTGCATTGATAACCCTAAAGAATGTTCAGATTTGGCTGGTGTGGATGCTAAAAGTTGTCTTTTTGCAGTTCCTGGTAGATATTGTTGAGCCTTCTTTCCCTTGGGGACTCTATTGGTGAGATCTCTGTGTTGAGTTTCTGAGTCTGCACAGCTACAGTGGCCATTTTCAGAGGTTCCCACTATCTCTGCTAGATTATTTATTAGCCTCCAGCTATATTTTACCTCCTAAAAGATGAAGGCAAAATAAAAATGGAATCTCAGACAATGTAGGCAGGCCTGTGTTGTGTAGTGTTCAAAAACATAGTAAATGTACTCTGTATTATGCAGAGAGGGGAATGTCTTAAAGGGCAACTTTGTTTTCCTCACTGCCTTTTATCATAGGATGTATCCCAGATCCCATGTTGTCTCTGCCTTTACTAAAGCTGAACCTCTGACAAGCAGCTACATATATACAGCTGAAATGCATATTTGGGAGCTATTTTACCTAAAGAGATTTGTACTTCATCCTGTCTAGGTCTAGTCCTGAGAGTTATGCAGCCCTGCCAGACAGCACCACCTGGTCATCTCATTATTTTTCTGCTGTAGCTAATCAATAAAGGTTGGCCACCTCCCTGCCTCCAACCTGTGATTGGACAATGAAGTTCAGCTTGTGTCTTTTTTTAACCTAACTATGTAACTTTGTAACCCTCTCCTCACTTTCTGTCAACATGTTCCTTGTTAAGGCCCCATTCACACTAAGCGACACTTACCTCAAGCGGATTTCCGCGTGGCGGGATAGCGAGACGGTTTGGGCGATGTTCCAGCTACCTTCAGTGTCGGGCTGCATTAAAAAAAAGGAAATTCTGGTGACATCCGCAGGAAAAAGGGTCCTGCAGGCGCAACTTGCAACGGGCGACATGGAGCTGTGCATTAAGACAGCTCCATTGAAAATCATTGGCCAGCTACTTCTCACGATATTGCGTGGCAAAAATGCGCATTTCGCGGCATAAATCGTGGGATTTTCCGCTCAGTGTGAATGGGGCCTAACACAGGAGCTCACAGCAGAGCCAGACTGACCTCATAACCGTCCCTCCCTATGCCTCTGAATGCTGCTGTGCAGGAGATTTCACAGGTTTGATAACAATTCAGAATAAGGTACTTACTAGTTGCATTTAAAATACATTTAGTCATTTTTGATTAATACAATGCATTAAATGGCTTTTTTTTATATTTGCTGGCAATTCAGCTTTGCACATTTTAAAATTGCTTTAGGCCTCATAATGCTTTGCTTCAGTAACCATATGTGCACACGTAGTACAAGTTAGAGGCATATGGTACAATGTACACTTGTATAATGTACAAAATGATAGAAGTGCGGTCATGCAGCTTTACATACCAAAGCTGCATTAACACAGAAAGTCGGACACAATGCCAGATGACGGTGAGCATTTTTCATGAGCATAGTGTTGACATTTTACTGAAATTACACTCCTTATATTCTTGAAATTTATTGCTCTCTTTGTGTTTCCTCAACAGATACCCCATTCCCGCAAGATTTCTCTATTTTGACAACTGTGAAAGCCAAAAAGGGAAGCCAGTCATTCCTTATGTCCATTTACAATGAACACGGCATCCAGCAGGTTGGCATGGAGCTGGGCAGATCACCCGTCTTTCTATTCGAGGATCACTTGGGAAATCCACTCCCCGAGGATTACCCCCTCTTCAGTAACATTAATCTCTCCGATGGAAAGTAAGTCCCTTGCATTGCAACTAGCTGCTGCCTATAAGCACAGCAAGCCATCCCTGATATGAGGACACACATACACATAAGATGATCTTATGACTGGGCTTGGGTATGACCTGTCTGTGGGCATTCTGTAATGTGTGCAGACTCCATCTGTACAGTAAATTTCTCTGATATTATCCCCTTACCCCATCAAAACACTTGCACTAGTCTATTCTCTGTGAAAAAAATGGAAAGCTTAATGTGACCAGGCTATGAACATTCTAATATTTTCATATTCTTAACAAGCAGTAAATACATTTAAAACATGTCCAAACTGACTTATGTAGCTGCAGCCACTGTGGGACAATTCATCTCCCTGGTAGGTCATCTTCCCCCCAGCCAGCAGTGGGTTGGCAACCGGCCAGCCTTCTGAACGGTGATGTAACAAAGAGCACGTGCTCTCGAAGGTAGGAGAGCTGTAGGTAGGAGAGTGCTGAGACCCAACCTGAACAACTTCATGGCTTGTATTTTGAACTTTGAGGATGAATTGCTCCACAGTAACTGTAACTACAGTGGTCAGTGAGGGCTTTTTTTTTTAAAGCCTTTTAACCACCTGGCTGAGATGTGGCTTAAACTGCTGATGGACTACAGAGGACGGTGACATTTGCAGACATCTAACCATCTGAAGATGTCTTCTGGCACCACCTTTGGCATAAATATGAAGTGGTTTGCCCTACTGCTCATGGTTATGCCAGCGAATGCAAATGTCTTTTTTTTTTTTTAAAGCAGTGTGGAAGGCTTAGAGCCTCTGTCAGGTGTTCATTGTTGTCTGTGTTTCTCTCTTGTTGTACTTTACTCAGGACATGAAATGATAGGAAACCTCTAGAGCAGGGACTCAGACAAAGCAAAAACACATTTTTAGTGCAGTGGGAATGGGTTAGAAATTCTCACAATGTTTTTAATTCTTTATGTAACAGTTTATACAACATGAACATTGAAGTACTGCATACACAGTATACGGCACTGTGTGTTTATTGCTTTCTATGCCTCCCTGTCTTGGAAACATCCTCTCACCTTTTATGGGTATCACAGGGACAGGAAATGAGTGAAAATCTCATTGACGGGGTCACAGACTAAAATGAAATCTAAAAGATATTTTATCTATTTGAGTAAAAATGTAGCTGGATAGGCATTTATATGATTTTTGTACCAGACTTGTATGCTTGAGTGTAGTCTATAGAGCCTTTGGAACTAATTAATGGCTGTTAGTGTGGCATGCTGCTCTATGGATGAGAAATTGGATCTTTTTGTGGCATTTATTGCTTGAGGACAGCAATTATTTGTACCTGGCAGTCACATTGAGATGGGAAAGCAGACTTATTAGCTCTCACACTGTGTAAAATATTTTACCACTGAGGACAGTTTGACATATCACCCCCAGATAGAATTTCAGCCAAGCAAAGGTAGAGGTCAGTGTGCTGATGATATCAGTGCTAACCCTGAGGTTATGTTCTATTGATCTTTTCCATCACAAAACTATGAAAAAGGGAGGTATAAGACATGCAAGAGACACGCACTGCCCGCCTAGGGCATTGGTTATTTATCAAGGTGTGTAGTATCTTCTGGTTAAAATGGAACCAGCTAAGATCAGTATTTTATGTTAAATGTTTGCTTAGTAATGTGTAGGTGTAACACTTGCAGGCATTTAGAACCTCTCACAGAGTTCACAGTGCTCCTCCTGACAACACCATCTGTGGTTTTTTTCTCTCCAGAAGAATAGTGCCAGGTTTATTCAGCCATCATGCAGGGTCTGCTTCTACTGGCTCAGAGATGACACAGTCATGTAAATTCTGGTGTCTGTGCAATGCTTGGCTGTCTTTACAAATGTCTGCCACAGATGGGCCTCTGCTACACCCTCTCGCATTGTGACTTGGTACAAAGTTACAATATTTAGTCTGATCTCTAGGGAGAGGAGACTGAGGAAAAGCTCCCTCCTGTCTGCAGCAGACTGATGACATCATCTCAGCCTAGACAAAGTGACTTGCATGAAGCTTTTTAATGATGAGGGTGGAACTTAAAAAAAAAATATTTTGTATATTTTGAATATATGTTGGCAGACTTATAACATTACTAAAAAGGTCCACTTTAAAGATAGCACAGTTCTGGGAACATCTAGCCCTGAGCGTTTTATTGTGTTGGCCAGGAATTTTTCTTTAAAGTCTAATTTTGCATACACCTCCAAGATGAGTGAAGACTTTAGTCAGAGTGTTAGTGATTGCTCAGTGCTGATAGGCCGTGGGGAAAAGGATATTTAAGTTTAAAAAATAACTATGGGGTATTTTTCTCTTAAGGGTAACGGGAGGACATATACTAGCATCCTCCCGTGACCCAAAGCACAGTATATGGCAAGCTAGAGCTCGCCATATACTGAGATCGCTGCAGCCGGGACAGATGCGACAACGCTGTTGAGATCCACCCAGCTGGCTGATTCACAGCGGGCTCTGCATATCTAGAGGCAGAGCCAGCTGTATCTGCCCCCTCCCCAGTCCGTTCCTCCAGTCAGCGCTGGAGGATCGGAGAGGGGAGGGGGGAATCCCTGCGGGGAGTGGTGACTGACAGTCACCACTCTCTGCAAGGAGATGATTGAGAAGTTAGCGAGCGAAAGTATGTGTTCGCTCACTTCCCGATCTATTGAGCCGACATGCGACAGCTTCATTGTCACACTTCGGCTACTTAATTTCTCCGTTTAAGTAGAGCGAGTGAACTTTCAGACTTCATTGCAGTCGTGGTGTTGCCTGGATTAAATTAGCAGTTGCTATTAGGCTTGCCATACATGGGACAATTAGTATACAACCCCAACAAAGATTTGCCTGACAATTAGTGGCTTATTGCTTGGACAATAATCATAAACTATTGATAAACTGGCAAATATTGAAAAAACTGATGGAAAATTATTCTCGGTGAATGCTCATTAACTAGATTTTAACCAATTTTCATTTTGATCATTGTTACAGTTTTTATAATCACCTGTGTCTCGTGTAGCTGAATTTTTATATAAAAATATTGCCCAATCTATGACCCATTTTACTTGTTCCCCGGGGGTGTTCTTTAAAGTGGAAATTTCAAATGTTATCTTTAAGTTGAATATTGACAACATAAGAAAAGATTTTCTGCAAAAAAACCCCACAAGGGACCCTGCAGGTAATATATGCAGAAAGACAATCACTAGTACTATAGTACTTTAGAAGAGATGTGCACAGCAGGAGAGTTATCTAGCCAAAACTGACGAGGTATCTGGGTAGGTTGTGGGTAAATCATCATGGCCAGAACTAGAGAAGTATCTGGGTACTTTGGGGGCAAATCATCAGAAGAGAAGAGGAGGCTACAAAGGGTACTTTGAGGGAAAATCATTGGTCCAGAAGTGGAGAGTATCTGGGTACTTCAGGGGTGAATTTTTGGTCCAGAAGTGGAAGGGTCTCTGGGTACTTCACGGGTAAATCATCGGGCTAGAAATAGAAGGGTGTCTAGGTAAGTCATTGTACAAGAACTGGGGGGTTGTATAGGTGTAATTCAGGGCTTAGTCATTGACCAGAAATGGAGGGGTATCTGGGTAAGGGTGCGGTAAAATATCAGGTAAGAACTGGGAGGGTATTTGGGTCCTTTTGGGATAAATCCTTGTTGCCAGTACTGGAGGGGTATCTGCCCTTCAGAGTTATTACTGAATTTAAGAGGGAAGTTTGTTCGTGGATTGATTGATGAAACAAAATATGACCATATACAATAAAATATTAAAACCTTAGTAACTGAAAAAATAATCTTGATTTGCTACAGGCCCAATGACACCATACATGTAACAGCCTGCAGTCACTTTTATGAATCTTATTTGAGGGAACACAAGTCGTTTGTGCAACATGAACTAAGACTAGTATTCTATATGATGCAGGATGTATTGTGTATGAACAGTTCAACAATTGTAAAGGTTACCTCTTGTGGGTCCGTGGTGTTCAGGTTGAGTGAGATTACTATGCTCCACCAATAAATAAAATGTCAATTTTTGGTGGACTGACCCTTTAATCCATCACTGTCAGACAACTTTTGTAAGCTTGTGAGCTGTAATTTTTTTTTGTGTGTGTTTTCCTCTGTGGTGGCACTTATATGTGCCAATGTCTCTGACACTGCTCCATTCCCCACAGGTGGCATCGGATTGGGATCAGCGTCCACAAGAAGCAAGTCACCCTCTTTGTGGACTGTAAGAAGCGGGCGCAGAAACACCTGGAGCGCAGCGAGCACTCTATCGTGGACACCAATGGCATAGTGGTGTTCGGCACCAGGATCCTAGACGAAGACTTCTTTGAGGTAAGAAGCAGCCAGTCCGTCTGATGGATTTTCCAGTTTGTTTTTGTTCCTTTAGAACAAGCTGATTTTGGCTCTGTGAATGACTTGGACATGTCCTGTTGGAGTGAAAATGAGATTTCCTCCTGCATGCAGCCAAAATGTGCCTTGTTTTCCAGGTAACGTGGAGCAGAGCCTCCTGTGGATAAATGGGAATACATTCACATTTAAATGTACAAGATAAACATGCAGAAATAACAGACAGGCTTTTCTTTACTCCACTGTAGAAACTGGTGATTTCACTAAACGGGAAGAGATGAGAGAAAAAAGGTTTCTTTTATTATGAGGAAGTAATCGGACAGTCGACTTATCATCTATGTCGCATATTTTGAATTTGCTTAAGCATGTGACAACTGGTCACACAGACCTGCAAGTGATGGTCTATTGGCTTAGAAAGTGTCACAGTTTTTATCTGTGCATTTTAGCACAGTACGGTTTCAAAAATTCTGCCCGCTGCATCTTTGATACCCATTCCAACAAGCCCATGTTAATAGGCTGAAGTGGACCAATTGTAAAATGAGCTGTGACATAAAACACAAACGTATGAATATAGTATGTATACAGGAGTCGTGTGCAAGGTGTGATCGTTTACCCCAGGTATCTGTCTTTGCTATCTCAGGTGCGGCTTCAGCATCAAACCATCCCTAGAGACATGGGCGTGGCTAAAGCTGGCCACACACTGGAGGGAGCATGGAGCGGTGACTACTTTACAACACACACAGGGATCATGGGGAACAAAAGTAGCCACCCTCCAGAAGGAAGGACAGTGTCAGCACCAATTCATGGATGATATGAGGTTCTACAACTGTGTGATAAACAAATAAGATACATTTTTGCTAATAGTTCAGGTACTGGAATGCATTTCAAAGTTTAACTCCTGAGTTTAGTGTCACTTTAAAAAAAGTTTTCGCTTTTACATACACATCAAAGCTCTTTGGGCTTTCTGTGTCTCTTTTTAATGGCACTAGAGATGAACAGCAACGCTCATCTGTGTGCTGATATTTTTGTCCGGTTTACATTTACTCTTTATGTTTTGTACCACAAAAAAGAGAGCACTTTAACTTTAGTGTTTGGTATTAAACAGATGGCTGTCAGTGGGCATTTTGGATTACACAGAACATAGTGAATATGTTTAATGTAGGACGTTTTTTTTTAAATTTTAATTAAAGCTTCATTATAGGTGTACTTTGGAGGTTGAAGTCAGCTAATTACTTTTTTTTCTCTGCCTTAATTGCCAAATGCTCCTGTCAACTTGGGAGTTTTGGGTGTTCTCACCCACTTCCGTGTTCCAGCAACTCCTATTGGACTCCCCATGATATAAAATAAACACAAATCCAGGAGGGATGTTGGGAGCCCCTCATAATGGGCCCAGCATATGTGCAGACTCAGGAATCAATGGAGAGAGAGAGAGAGAGAGAGAGAGAGAGAGAGAGAGAGAGGAGTCAGAAGATATTTTAAGTAGATGTACAGTATATGAACCTTAACTGCTTTTCCATAAAATGCCTGTCACTTGGAGGGCACAGTAGCTAACCAGCTCAACTTCCATCACCTGCCTGACTTCTCTGTATAGAAGGCTCAATATAAAGTTTTAACTAGAGAGAGACTGTATGAAAGAAAACAGTATCTGCTGTGCTCTCTCCTTAGAAAACCTCCCTATACCCCCTTCATGAGCTGTGCTGCAATCAGCATAAATTCATAGGAGGTGGGCACAGAATGTGAGGATATTCACTGAATGAATCAGGCTGCTGTCCCATTTTTGTTGCATTTTTAGCAACTTCACTTTGGTGAAAAAAAAATTCCAGCACAAGGGGCGAAGGGGGTTCTTCACAGTAAGATCAGTTAGGGTCTGGAACTCACTGCCACAGGCGGTGATTTCAGCAAATAATGTGGAATTGTTCAAGAAACTTTTGGACGATTTCTTAAGGGACCGTAATATACAGGGGTACAGGTACTCCTAGAATGAGATCCTAATAGGTTGGACTTGATGGACTAATGTCTTTATTCAACCTCAAATACTATGTAACTTTGCTGTTGGTTTTGGTGTGAAAATGGTGTGATTACTGTACATACAAGCTGATGTATTGTCAAGAACAGTGGGCAGCCAGACCCTGCTCAGGAGCTTAGACGATAGAAGGATATAGAAGGAATTGCCCGCTTGGAGTTTTGGTCACTCAACAATTTCCCAACATTTCAGCATAAGAAAACCAGCGCCTCTAAGGCCCAGAAGTGTCTGTTCTCACCACACTGTTGCCCCCTGGATGTCCACATCATTGCATTGCGTGTATTTCACAAGTTGTTTACATGCATCTGGTCTTAGACACCAATTTCCAATGCTGCCTGTGGCTGAAATAGTCATGTTTGGTTTTGCAGCAGCCAGCAACGCATGTAAGACGTCTCTTCAGCCTTGCGATGATCTTTGACAGCCCGGGCTGTGTGCCAAAACCCAGAGGAAAACCCCGAGACCGCCACAGACATCCCCAGGTGGAATTCTGACTCAGCTGATGATTAGGAAGACTTGCATTCCCCATCCTTAATCCGGACGTGTCCCCGGGGTTCTGCTAACAACAATTCCTGACTGCAGTGCTGCACCGGACACTGCCATTATTGTACACCTCAATTTCCTCATACACACACAATGTTTTATGCAGGCTGTGATGACAAAGGAGTATTAAAAAGTGTCTTACCTTTGCGGCCATCAGAAGTATTAAAGGGAAACTGTTACCCGTTACTGATCTTTCTGTCCTGAAAGTTTACAGATGTATCAGCAAAAATATAAAGTGAATATTAACATTGCCCAGGAAAGTATTTCTTTACATTTTACTACGGACCGGCCGTAGTAAAAAAACGGCCGGCCGGGAGCTCTCTAGATCTGAGCGGGCGTCTTTAGACGTCCGCTCAGACACGTCCCCTCGTGCACGCCGAGAGCGGGAAATGCCCGATATTTAAAAACAGGCAGCGATGCCTGTTAACATACAAGCGATCCGCCAGCTGTAGAGCCGGCGGATCGCTTGTATGGGGTGCTGATCGGTGCCCCCCCCCGCCGTTGTTCCGCTGATCCCAGGCTCCGCTGTGCCCGGTGCGAGCCCGGGATCAGCATGGCGCCTGTGTCACAGTGGATCAGAGGGAGATTGTACACGAGCTCCCTCTGGTCCCCTCTCCTCTGCAAGAATGCGTAAGTGTTGTATATTACATCACTTCCGCATTCTTGTGTCACTCTCCAGCTTCAGAAGCTGGAAAGAAGCTGATGGAGCAGATCTCTGCTTCATCAGCTTCAGGGGGGTCCTAGGTGACATTAGGGGTCTTGGAGACCCCTGATGTCTCCATAAAGAGGACCTGTCACATATTTTGCTATCACATAGGGGGGTTTTATTAAAAAAAAATTAAAGTCCCCGCGCCAAAAAAAATGTAAGTTACACATAAAAAAAAATAAATTTTTTTTTAAAGTCCCCACCCATACAAACACGCATGCAAACATGCGTCGGGGGCGCATACGTGCAAAAAAGACGATTGCGCCCATTACGCCGCACATGTTACATATCGCCGCGAACGTCGCAGTGAGAGCAATAAGTCTAGGGCCATTAATCACTGATAACACTAAACTGATGAGCGGTAAAA